CCGTGATATCTGTCGTTGCACTGATCTACTGAACATTCTTCGACTCGACCAACTACATAAATTATTTGTTGCATTACACACTATATTTTTAATATAATCATGAAACCATGAAAAAACCACGAAAAAAGTCAAATAGGTGGTGCATGTCCCATCCCCAATGCATACCAATTGTATTAAAAATAAATACGTTTTCAATTAACAACGTGAAGCCACATATAACAGTAATAACACTGCCCACGGTTCACAGGGTTAATCAAGTAAAAAAGGTTAATAGGTAATCAATAATAATAATTTAGAAAAATACAATTCGTTTTAATAACTGTGATTAAAATACAACTTATATTTTTTATTTATTTTTAATAGTATTTTATATTTTTTTTTGAAAGTTATACAGCATATAAATTATTTCAAATATTTTTAAATTAAAAATATAATTTTACACCGGTTAATACAATAATTAATTTAACTGGGCCCTAGTATTTATTCATAAATTATTTATATTTTCGAATAATGATCTATTTTATAGCAAAAAATTACTTATATTTGTTGGAATAGCGTAAATAGGTTAGGTTATTCTTTTAATAATAAACTATCAAGTTTAGTAAACTCTTTCCAAATGTATTACTCTGCCATGTTTTTAAACTAAAATCAACCCTAAAGTGACAAATTAGTTATAAAATCGATATCTTTATTTGGTTTTTGTTCTTTATGTTATATATATACATGGATTTTAGAGATTACTGTTATTTGAGATAGAAAGAAATATGGGTAAGGAACTTTTGTTTTGGTAGATGAATGAATAGCTTCTCATAGGTTAGATATAAAATGAATGGTTGGATCTTTTCAAAAGTATATATCAAAATTAATTTGGCCCGCATAAAATAATAGTTATGGGTATTTTCGCTTAGTACTCCAACAAAAAACATTAACCCTTCTCCTCGTTATTTAATATATATTATTATACTACTACTTATACTACTATTATCTATACTATTTTTTAGGAAGTGTATGTGCAAAAAACTTATGCAATACTCTGTTTTTATTTCATTGGTTATTAAGATGTCTATAAATAAACATATGAATAAATATTCTCATTAGAATCCTTTATAAGTGATTTAATTAAAATGACGAGGTTTTTAAGGTAATTCAAGTCGGCTTAATGATAATATTTCTTTTCTATTTGGTTCAAAACTAAAATGCATTATCCAAAATAATTTAATTAAAAAAAAACCTTAGGGTACTTAATTACAATTAAAACTAAATATAAAATAAAAAGCGGAGATTTTAATAATCGTCATAAAAAATATGCAAAGTAAAGATGATGGAAAAACAACTATTTATTTTTAAAAATAACGTTTAGTAAATTTAAAAATAAATATATTTTTCTTATCACAATGGAATACGTTTTTAATAAAAATAAAAAAATCCAGCTGCAGTACACGAAGAAAAAACGTGTGACTATAACATTTTAGCCAAGCTGACGTGAAATATTAGATGCGCTGTCAGTATTGTTACAAGCTCATTTCGAGTATTTCAAACATTTTATCATGACAGGTATAAGATTACAACCCACCAAAAATAAGTATCAACATAAACGAACTAAGACACGTGATTTTACGGGATACCGATGGGAAATAATTCCCAACGTGCAACATAGTGGCAAATCTACACAATTGTATTCATCACGTTTATTAAAATCTAATGACTTTATAATACATTCCGCATCTTAAACATCTCTATGAACTAAAAAAGTATGACTAATAATTCGCATATAGGTACATAATGTATTACTGTATCTATCGCTGTTAGCGACGCGGTAAAATCTTGTAATAATAATATAAATAGTCTAAATCATGTGAGAGGTATAGAATTCTACAGGATACTATAAACACATAAACATCGACACGTGATATTATCGTTAAAATACTTATATACAGGAAGTCTATACATATACAGTGTCCGGTTCACAAACCATAAACCGTCAATTGGATGTCATGAATTCGCGTTTGATGGATCGTGACAAGAGTAAGTCACTCTGATTTCGGAGAGTACGTTTCACGGGATTACGAAATTATTCCAATTCTGTCACACGTACGTGAGTCAAGAAATGGATTTGTTGGCTGTATATTATATTATGCACAGAAAACAAGATGAATGTTAGGAAAACATTATCTTTTTACTTATTCATTAATAAATCGAAAGTAAAACTATTGTAATAAGCATGTGTACATAATGTAGGTACATAAAACGCGAGTCGGACACATAATCTATAAATAGCTTTACTTATGAGAAAATTGGTTTACTTAATAAATTCAAGAATTATCAAAAATCCATATAAGTATAATGCATTTGCGATTCATTTTGATACAATTATTATACGTCATTGGTCGAGTTTCATGATATAAAGACTTTAAATTTTATAATCATTGGCATAGGTACATTTAAGAATATCATATTAGTGTGGAACACTAATTCTCAGTAATGATAGAGTTTAAATTGGTAATTAAATTACAATCTTAGGAGTTGAAATTCTACTAACGCGAATACAATAATCTATGTACGGTTCACACATTGACACACTGACAGATAAGATAGAGGTGCATATAACATATACTTATTATAAAACAAAACCTCAAATAGTCAAAGAATGATAAAACCATTTGTAACTAAATGAAAATTTTCAAATGCACAATACCCATTAATTAATTTATTTTTTGATATTTAATTTGTTACAATTTGCAAGAAACAATCTTGCCGGTTTTATTGGAATTTTGTTTGAATCATAGAGATAATACGTAAGAAATATATAGTTTGGCAAACATAGCTAGTTAATGTCATAACTATTGATGTTTAAAAACTGTTGTTAGCCAATAACAATAAATCGAAAGTCGAAACAGATGTACGAACGCGATTTCGACGAATTGTTGCTCAGCTGTATTATACATTCGCACCGTTATTTGGATTTACATTGGGGGATAATGAAAATCTAAAAATTGGGAAGAGTTTACTCTGCTGTTATAAAAATAGAAGCTAAAAAAAGTACATATCCACTCACACCAAATCAATTATTGTTTTACAAAATGTGTTGGTATCAGTGACGAGTATCCAGTATATAATTATATAATTGGTAGCAATTGCATAGATTTTATTACACTTTATTCTACGTGCGTATTTGATACATAAGTATATTATAATATGGACAAGCATTTGTGGTTTATGTTATGTATTTATTTCCTGTATAGCAGCGATTCCAAAACTTTTTTGGGTCACGTATCCCCAGAACAAAAAAAAATTTAATCGCGCCTCCCATGAATAAATAAAACACTTTTTATTATTCAAATATATTCCTATAAACGGCAGGACGGTTTTTTCATGTCGCATTAAAAAAGCATCATAGTCATATTAAAAACGTACGATGATTCGAACACAAAACGTAATGAATACGAAGAATTAGACAACGATAACCTTAATTAACATCGAGCAACAATTTGCACATAGATTGACACTTTTTATTATTGCGTCTACACTCGTGCACACATGAACATGATACTATGAACCATGACACAGGAAATAGTCCGATATCGCGTCAATCGTTACACATAGCATGCGTGTGTGTGGGTGTAGGAATATATTCCTTATACCAATACCTTAACGGTTACTATAGTCATGAAACCATTTATGTTTATAAACATACCTGGAATTATAATTGGTGTTTCCGCAAATATTTAGGGATTAGAATAATAAAAATAAATAAAAATAAAATTTAATAAAATTCTTGACCATAATAAATGTTATAATAGATAGCATAATAGATGTTGTTTTATTCGGTGCATACAGCACTTGAATTTCAATGCATGAATAAAAATGAATAATTGAATGCATCGTGAGTACACAATATTTGCAAGTAAGCATAATGTAAAAAAATGTTTGTCGGGAGTTGGAAGAAATAATACTTATATATCTAAGGTAGTTTTTAAAGGTGTGTTATGAATTTAAATTCGACGACCCAACATTTTGGTTTTTTTTTTCGAACAAACAATCAAATAGATGAAAACTTCCCATCAGAAACCTAAGAAATTCCCGGAAGCATAAATTTACCATTACAAAGTTCAGAAAATATAAACAAAATGAACATAAATAACGAAATGTTTTTTTTATCTGAATTCACCAACAAAAATGTATAACGATCTGAATTTATAATTATATATTTTAAATATAACTGTGACCAAACAACCGGAGTATCTAATAAATACCGTTTTATACACACTTTGAACTAAATTTCATCAATACACAAACGTGCTAACCTCCAACAGAGGTATAACTTTACGCGATAAAAGGTATTTATTTCTTCAAAAATATAATAAATTCTCTTCTAGATTGTACTTCCTTTTCAAAAAATATGGTCAACATTTTCTTAGAACGCATACTTTTAACGAATTTTGTTATTACTAGAACATTGAAGATTATCTCAAGAACTAATATACTCGTAAAACGAAATATAATTCTGAAATATTGAATTTTATTGTTTATGAATTATTAATTCTACAAAAATGTATCATTTAATGCAAATAATATTTAATTTAGTAACAATATCTTCGAGCAAAAAATACATATTTTTAAACAAAACATGTTATTTATTTGCATTTAATCAAGTAAGTATAGTTTTCAGTAATTTAGTCTAATAATGATTTATATTTTTTTTAGTATAACCCATTTATTTTAAATAAGATCAATTCACAGTATGTGAGATTACCGAAAAATCATGGGTCATTTATTACCATTATTATTATTTTATAGCATATCATGGATTTCTAGATGTTCTAAAAAAATTGTCTTGAAGTAATTATTTCGAAATCTAATGAAATATCATACTAAATTTTCAGAGAATTATCAATGTAATGAACATAAATCAAGTAATTTTTAATTAATGAGCTAATTAAAATATATAATCTCAAATCATTGAAATTTACATTATAAAAAAAAAGAATATATGTACTTACGATTTTGGTTTGGAAAATTGTTTATATTTTATCAATATCTGAAATAAAACAAATAAATTAATCACTGTTTTAATGTATTATAATTTACTATTTAAAAGTTTTTATATAATCTAACAAAGCATATATATTTTTTAAGTGCAACTTGCAATATTAAATTTTCGAATTACACAACGATAAAAATAGACATTTAGGAGAATCTTAATGGTATCAAAAAGTATATTTAGTATCAAGATAGACTATAAAATAACCATCATAGTCATTTGTACTTAATTCGGAACCGAATGTATAACTTAATTTTATTAATTCCTAATTAAATATTTTCAATTTAATTCAATTTCATAAAAATGCAAATTAGCCACATTGTGATGTCATTATTCAAAAACGATTTAAATTAATATTTTTTCTCGACCCTTCTATACACAATTGCAAAGTTTATTTTAATTTACATTTAAAAGTATAAACAAACGTTGATTAAAAGTATACCTGTGTTATCTATAAGCTTGTGGTAGGCGTTAAGAAAAAATCACTGTAATAATATATTCAAGAGGAAATTTTTAATCAAAACAGGATAATTTGCTTAGACTTCGAAGCTAATTCTTATGTCGATTTTAATGAGATTGAATTATGTAACTTGCCTTAGGAAAATTAATTTCGACTATGTCATTAAATATTTGGTAAATATTTAAAAAAATGAAAATTTAAGTATACAAATACTGTTAGAAAATACACTAAATATTATGTTTTACAATAAATATATTCTAGAACGTATACCAACAATTATTAAAAAAAAAATGTAATAACTATGATTCGATTCCTAAAACTATTATTATTTATTTATATTATAATATTTATGGTTCCTACAAAATCTTATAATAAGAAAATAATTTAAATGTTTAACTTTAAATATAAAATGTAGAATTTATTTTTGAATTTTTTCAATATACACCTAATATAATTTATTATTCCTATCTATGATCCATCATTCACTAAAGTGACTTTTAAATGCTTATAAATCTATAAATAAAACTTTAGTCATTTTTATTTTAAGTACATTTTAACATAAATGAATATTGATTAAAAACATATAATTAAAATTTATAAAAGTTATATAATATATATTAAAAATAATCAAATTGAATATGTTAAAAAATACATGTTTAATAAATATCCATAGTGTAAATGTTATAATATATAAATCTTAAATGTTGATAACAGTTTTAACAATATCTTATACTTATACATGAATGGATTAATTCTCGAAAAAATTATAATAAGTGATATGAACTATTGTTTTAGTATTCCAAGCTACAAGTACTTATATGAAATGTGTAATTTGGTGGTGGCTGCTTAACAGTTATAGACAAAAAAATGTATACATGTAGTGAATTTAACTACCTGGGGGTAATTATTTGGGTCGGAAATACGTCTCTGAGGGATAAAGAATGTATACTTTGGCACTTAATTAATTTATTTATTGAATTAATATTAATATATATATTCACTTTATTTATTTTACAATCATTATTCGTCTAAGTATAAATCAATGCAATTACTACATTATTCTTTATTTTTGTAGTGGAACGTATTCGTCTTTCATTTTAAGTATAAAAACTAATAGCTAATAATTAGGAAATCGTGAAAAAAGTATAAAATAATTGAAAATATGAAATGTCAAAATGTCATACATTGAATTAAATTTTATCTCCGTACCAAAAAAGTTAAACTAAATAAATCATAATATTTTTATCATAAAAACGATGGTGGAAAACGTTATAAATTATGTACTTGATTATCCGCCATATAAATAATAAATGAAATGCAATTAGAATAATAATTTCACATTTGATTAATAATAGAAAATAAATTATTTAAACAAAATTAACAATTGTATGTACTTAAATAAAGAATGCAATGAAATAAATATGATTTAAATAAGATAGAAAGAAAACATATTTGATTAAATATAATACCCAATGAAGGACGACTTTTTAGTTATTCATTTTACTTTGATAAACACTTTCATTTTACTGACAAAAATATAACAGAAACACAGAGTATGATAAAATCAATAGAAAAAGTAACAAGAAAAGTTAATATGGTAGGTACATAATAATTTCGTTGTTGAATTTTACCTAATAAAATTCTGAATAAAATAATATAAACGAGTAGAAAAAAATTGTATAAGTAACTTTATTTTATTTTTTTTAATAAATACCATTCAAATATCTATTTTTTTAGTAATATTTAATATTCCTATAAATCTACAATAATGACAATATATTATAAATATAATATAATATACTATGCACTAATGAATGTTTTTTTTCTTGTTTACATAAAAATTGTAATGAAACAATTGTGGAACAAAAAACAACATTTTTATTTTTACAAATTTAAACAAGAAAATAATTATTAAAGACAGACATTTTCAAGAAAAAATGAATAATTTATACTATGTAATATTAAAATGTGCTTAAAGGCAAACATATTGTAATAATTAATATTTATTTAAAATTGTTTACAATTTGAAAAAATAATAAATTATTGTTTTTTTTTTATTTATCCCAATAGCGTTTACGTTTTTTTGTTGTAATAATTAAACATGGTATAGCTATGTAAATTATAATAACGATTGACAAAAAAAAAAATTCTAAATTCAAACAGTTTTGGAGTTTGCATTAAATTTAAAAGTACTTTGTCGTTACATTTTGATAAAAGTATTGATCCTTTGTATATATTGCTTAGTACCATGGAATAGGTAACACTGTGTCCCGTGATATTAACCTTAGTAGTGTAATATAACTACATGAAACTAATGAACGTTCGCATATTACATAGGTTTTTACGAGTGAACAAAATAACGTGTTATATAATATATGATATTCTATCTTTACACAAAGAAAATGTACAAGAATTAACTCTTAGTATAATATAAACAATTAATAAATATTTATTCAGTAGAATATACATATAAACTTAGATCACCAAAACGACATACATATAACGATAACGCACTCTTCGCTCAACGGTCATCCGCGAACTATACTCTCTCTCTTTCCGTCACTCCCGACCGTACTCCCATCGCAAAGGCAACAGTGCCAGCACGTTTACAATATTATCCTCTTCCTCCCTTTTCCCCCTTTTTTTTATAACATTCGGTCTTCCTGACCCATGAGTGTCCTCACTCACATTCACGCTTACAATTTAAATCCTTTCAAATTTTAATAATTATATAAACATTATTTTTTTTTTTTTATACATAAATAACAAATTAAAATAATTAATTTAATAACAAGTCTATCAACTATCTCATTGCTTTATATTGTAGCTACCATGCCACACTGGTGGTTTACAGTTCCTTGCTGGTTGTCTCGGTTCTCCAGAATCATGGTCCATTTCCGTGATAGTTTCCTTTCTCTCAAGTTCTTCCATCGGTGATCGTTCTTCTTCCTGGTCTTCTGTTGTTGTCTCTTCCGCTTCGTCATCGTTTCGGGTAGATGATAACCCTTTATGTGTGATACATGTACTGTGGTGGAATACCGTCTGCCATTTTCAGCCTTCAGTCCTGCAACTCGGTAAACATCTTTGAATGCCACTTCTGTGACTACCAAAGGTCCACGGTATTTTGACTGCAACTTGGTGGAATCTCCGGTTACATCTGGTGATTTTCTTATAAAAACCAAGTCACCTACATTGTATATATATACAATATATATGTATACTGATTTAGCATATCTACTGTCATATCTCTCCTTCCATTGCTGTTGTTCTACAGTAATCTTCTCACGAATGTTGTTTTGGAGTCCTTCAGTGTCATCCCATATATCCTCTGCAATCAAATGATGTAGTGTGCTATCCTTAAAACTTAGTCGATAACCAAATAGTACATGAAAGGGTGTATCCCCAAGTGTTTTATTATACGCGCTATTTAACTGACATTCAGCCTCCAATATAAGTTTATCCCATTTATTGTCACATTCCATGTTAGCCAGCTAGACTGGTATCAGGGTACTATTGACCCTCTCCACCTGTCCGTTAGATTGCGGGTGTCGCACCGAGTTTAGGATGTGTTTGATCCCATGTTGAGAGCAGAAGTTCCCAAACGCCCTAGATGTGAACGCCGTCCCTCGGTCGCTGATAAACCGTTTAGGCGAACCATATGTTAGAATGAGCTGTCGTAAACTATTGTGCCGCAACTTCTAACTGGGTACAATTTTACAAATTTAGTAAGATTATCAATTAACACTAGGATATACCTGTTTCCTTTCGTTGACTTGACAAAAGGGCATACATGGTCCAAATTAACTGTTTCAAAGGGGCGCTTTCCAGGCTCGATCGGATTCAGTTCTCCCGATTGTTTTCCCCGTGGTACCTTCGTTAAAATATATTCGGGGCAGCACTTTATGTGTATACGTACATAACGCCGCATCCGTGGAAAGTAGTATTTTTCTCGTATCTTGAGAACAGTACGTTCCACAGAGAAATGTCCAGCTAGGTCATGGAACCGCACCACGATACTCTTTCGCATGGAGTTTGGTACTAACCACAACTTTCTGGTGTTTACATCAACAGCCACCCTTTTATACAGTAATCCTTTCTCTAGACAATAGTCCTTGACTAATTCAGCTTCCGATTGTGTACGACTTAAATCCTCCCAACTTAAGATCTCCACGATGTGTTTCAGGGCGGCATCAGTCCGTTGCATCGCCAGAACCTGTTCTTCTTCACTCATAGTAATAAGCACCTCTAACCGTTTATCCAGCACCTCCACTTCAGTGTCCTCTGAAGGGTTGATCGGCGCTCGACTTAACGCGTCAATGTGTTCCATCTTGGTCCCTGGACGGTGTTTAATTTCAAAATCAAATTCACTCAAAAGGGTTGCCCATCTTGCGATTTGGGGTTGAACGGTCTTTTGGGTATTTAGATGCACTATTGCTTGACAGTCGGTCATAACTATAAACTTTATACCTATAAGATATTGACGTAACCTAGTCATGCTCCAAACTATTGCCATTAGTTCCAGTCTGCTAGAGTGGTA